TATCGTTAAAAAAAGGAAAAGTGAATTTAAGAGCCGGCCCTCGCAGTCGCACACCTGGGACTTGATGAGAGCCGTCCTGTGGGGTGGGGAGCGGGGGGGACTGTGTCGCTACTCGTAGCGCATCGCGTGGGCAACGCTGTCCCGTCGCGGCGCAGCGTGTGGTGCGAGTGTGGGGGACGGTGGCGATGCCGGGAGCGGCGCCGCTGCCCTTTGCCGGCACTCGCGCCGCGAGGGTGGGCGCGGGGCCACGCACGGCGTCCGCGTGCGACGTTCCCGTCGCCACCCTTCGCCTCCGCTGCCATCGCTACAAACACAGCCATGCTTTTAACAGATTATTCCTTAATCGGTTGCAGTAATTGTTTTAGTTTGTGTACATTACGTTTATTAAAAGCCTTTAAAACTTGTGTTTGTGGTTTTTAATGCGTGGTTCTGGCTGAACTGTGTACTGTCACGCTGCACCACAGGCGTCGGCACGTCCGATTAGCACGGTTGGCTATAGAAGTTCATCGTACACACCAGGCGTGCGTGGCTATCTCCAACGTCAAACACTTCTTCTTTACACCACTCTTGCAGGTTTTACGTCCTGGTCACCCTTTCTGCACTTCTGTCCTGGGCCATCATTTTCACATCAACTCCACTGTCCACATCACGGCGCGTCCCATCCACCTCTCGACCTGCCTCTCGTTCTCCACCCTGGTTCATGAATATTTATCACCGTTCTTCCGATGTGTTGAAACTCTGCCGCTCTCTGAACAGGAGAGTCGCAAAGCACTCGTGAACCCTATCCCTGACCTCAACTCTCCTTTGCCTTTTCATGAATGCACCAGTATTTTTCATGAATGCAATGGATTGTAATCCAATTACACATGGTGTAACGTTTTCTTTGGCCTGAGTGGTCCGACTTTAGGTCGCACTTTGGCACATGCAAACTCTGCCGCCGTATTTTAGCTCCATTTCTGCATTTTAGCGGATAAGGCCCACTGAGCTATGACGCTTTTTTTCAGAAGCGGGCCTGACCAAAAATGATAGTGCGACGAAGTGTCATGCGTGGAAGTTTATAGCAGCCAAATATTCTTAAAGGCGTGACGTTGATCCTCAATGTGGAGGGGGGGAAACCGGATGGCCCGGAGAAAAATCCACGCTGACCACGGGGAGAGAGAGAGACACGCAAACTCCAAATATACAGCAGCAGGCGTCAGGGTCGGGAGCGAGCCCACGACCTCCTGCACACCAGGCGAGGTAGTTGACATCTAGCCACTGTGATGATGAGAGAGAGAGACACGCAAACTCCAAATACACAGCAGCAGGCGTCAGGGTCGGGATGGAACCCACGACCTCCTGCATACCCGGCGAGGCGGTTAACATCTTGCCAACGCGGACTCCAATTTGATCTGTGTCGAGTGGTGGCACGTGACATCTCCACGAGGTGGGTCTGTGAGTTATTGGCCTTCACGTGAAAGTGACATCACTGTCTTATCTACCAACGGTAGGCATTTACAAAGAATACGAAACAAAACAACAAAGCACTCAAATGCTGTCCCCATGACCCTCAAGTCCACACTACACAACCCCCTTTGACACTGCCAAAAGCCGAGATCTGCTGCTGTACTTGCACGGTGCCACCACGCGCCGTGATATCGTCTCTCGTGACAGCCACGGGCGACTTTTTAAATCCTTTATTAAATCCTTTATATTAAGTTCGCGTGCTTGCTTGCTTGCTTAGGACCGTGCAAATCTTGCGGTCGTTTTTTAACCCACTTCCCGTGATCCAATCGAGCTGACATTTTCCACACAGACTCGTGCCAGACAATTATTGTTCGTGAAAAAAAATTCCCAAAATTTTACACTTTTTAGGCAAAAAAAATTATTTTACATATATTCAAATAGAACTCATTCATGGCTTTGGCTGAACGTCAGAGTGTAAGAGCCCAGAGCGTAACCCCTCCACAGGCCGTGGCGGAGTAGCGCAGTTGGTAGCGCCCTCGCTTCCCATGCCAAAGGTCGCGAGATCGATCCCCGCGTCCTCCACAGGCGAATATATTTTAAAATCTTTATATTAAGTTCGCTTTGTTGCTTAGGACCGTGCAAATCTTTCGCTCGTTTTTTAACCCACTTCCCGTGATCCAATCGAGCTGACATTTTCCACACAGACTCGTTGTGCGTGACAATTAATGTTCGTGAAATTTTTTTTCCAAAATGTTAGACTTTTTAGGACAAAAATATATTTAATTACCAATTACTAAATGGTGCAATGCAATCATCTGACCCATAGGTGGCAGCCATCTCAAGCCAGAGGACGAGAGGACTCTAGCCGCCACGCATATAAAGGATTTATAGTGAAAAACTTTGTTTTTACGGGTTATACTTGTTCACCGCCCTGAATGGGTCTCAGACGATGTGGCTACAATGCGAAGCTGCTAATCGCAACGCAAAGAAGGGGAATCTCTCACTCGGAGGACGCCTTCACAGCCGCACCGAGAAATCAAGACCGCGGCTTTGCAGTAGCGGTTCCGAATATGAACAACTTAAAATGTTATCTTCATTAGGCAATTCACGGTGAAAGCCATCATGATATTTTAATTGTTTGAAACACAACAAAACAATTTATAGAAGAGTATTTTTTTATTAGAAACATAATTTTGACTTAAAGCTTTCGTGACTGCAGGAATACATATTCTATGGGTCTTTCGCTAAAGCCACGTGGAGAGAAAAATAATACAAATATCACGATTCATCTTCTTGGTTCTTTCGGTAAAGTCACGTAGAAGGGAAGTAATAAAATAATAAAAATAAAACATAATAAAACAATTTTATTAAAAACCAATAAGATGAATCCCTGCAGTCACGAAAGCTTTAAATCCAAATATCACGATGTTTCGATCTCAACACAAGTGAAGGCAATTGCTTGTGTTGAGATCGAAACGTGATATTTTTTTAATTTTTCTATCTACGTGGCTTTAGCGAAAGACCCATAGAATTTAAAAACATATTTTTTATTAGAAACATAATTTCTCATTAAGGTCTTCATCCGCTTGACGAAGGCTGCTTGTGTTGCGATCGAAAAACGTGGGTTTTTTTGCTTTTATTATTGATCAAATTTTATTATTTTCTATTTACATGACTTTACCGAAATAACCATAAATATAATTTCTCATATTCTTGGTTCTTTCGGTAAAGTCACGTAGAAGGAAAATAATAAAATAATAAAAAGAAAACAATAAAATTCTCACGTTTCGATTGCAACACAAGCAATGATCATCAGGTGTGAAAACCACAGCAAGAAACGTTAAGAAAAAATCGCCACCGTTCGAAACGTCGTGAGAATTGTATTGGTTTTATTATTTTATTATTTCCCTTCCACGTGACTTTACCGAAAGAACCAAGAGTATGAATCCCTGCAGTCACGAAAGCTTTAAATCATAATTTATCACCTCCATCTGCTTGGTGCAACGCCCCCTAGTGGACAAACCGTGCATGTCTGTGTCCCTTCTCTAAACCACGTGCACTTCCAGCCCTACACTTAGAACACTCACAAGACAATCTCTCTCTACTCTCTCTCTCAATCACCGGGGATTCCACAGCCCCGTGTGAGCCAAGGGGGGTTCCTGCATCGGACACCGTGTCAACTCATATACGGTGCACCAACCACTTATTTTTGTACAGGGAACTTGAGTTTTCAGGTCCATACGGCGTAACAGCTGTTAACAAGACGGGCAAAAAAACAATAGTCTTTTTCGATTTAAAGCTTTCGTGACTGCAGGGATTCATCTTCTTGGTTCTTTCGGTAAAGTCACGTAGAAGGGAAGTAATAAAATAATAAAAATAAAACATAATAAAATTATTCTCACGACGTGTCGGCCACAACGCTGAGGACGGCTGCTTGCGTTGTGGCCGAAACGTCGTGAGAATTATTTTATTATGTTTTATTATTTTATTACTTCCCTTCTACGTGACTTTACCGAAAGAACCAAGAAGAAAAAAACAACTGTCTATTTGTTTGTGTTTCTCTCCCTTGTGATGGCAAGGTCTGAATTGGTCTGTAATAAGGTAGGACACTGATAAGGGGTTGATGGGTATGTGCATATCAGGAGCTCACATTAAGGGACCCCCCCCCCCCCCCCATGTGACTCCTGGTGGGGGGTGGGGGCTCGGCCACGTGGCGCGCCCCCTGCCCCCGTCACGTGGTGCAGACGAGCGCCTAAGGCGGCCATGTTGGTAAGGGAAAACGACGGTGGTACAGTATTGTACTGTATAGGTTGGTTTAACTCTAATTAATTCACCCCGAACATGTTTTTTTGTTAGTTTTCACACTCGCATATTCATTTCTGAAAAATAATGTGTTTTTTTTAATCCTTTCTGGGAAAGAAAAAAAAAGTTGTGTTAAAGATGTTCAAACACCAAAAAGATACCTTTTGCAAGGAATCGTGTCTGTATTAACCACACGAACAGTACCTAATGGTGAACATGCAAACAAACACGCTCTGATAATAATGTTACGCGTTGGCTTTGAAACTAAATTGGCCTACACCAGAGGACAGTAGCAGCCTTTTTTATGGCCTAGTCTCACCAAGTGCCAGACCAGAGAAACACCGCCAAAAGGGGGACAACATTGTTGTCTACATCAACGTTAAAGACGACGTTTCGCTCAAACTTCTGTGAGCTTCGTCAGGAAAGTTCGAACTTTTAACTCGAAACTCGCCGCCGATGTCCCTACGTAAGATGGCTGCCGCCCTTTAACCCCCACCGATTCGATTTTCCGGCAACTTTCTCAGCGCGAAGTAAGAGGAATCGATTCCGTCAACTCGTTCTGAATCACCCCCGAGCACAGCAGCGGGCGACATAACCGCGCCGCGTGCGATAATCAGTGCAAATAAAAGCCCCGTTGCAATGCTCGCTCGCTTTTTATTTGTAATAATAGCGACGCGCGTGTCGAATTTGCAGTGGCGCGCAGGAATCGATTCTTTGCTGCCCGCGGAATCGTTATCGATTCTCCACCCACATGGCCGCCCCCACGTGCACCGTGCCACGGGTTTCGGGTCTCTCACTTTAGCCGAGGTGGTTGTGGCTGTTGTCGTTGTTGTTGTGGTTGTTGTTGTGGTTGTAGCCGTGGCTGACTGTGCTTGTTGTGGCCGTGGATGCGACTGCTTGTTAAGCTGCCGCTCGGCTGTGCGCGTAACGTGTTGTGGTGTGTAGCTGCCCCCCTGTGTGTGTCTGTAGCTGAGAGCGCCTGCAAGTCGGTGCAGCTGCGTGTGTTGTGGCTCGCCTCTTGCTACGCTTGCACCTCCCCACCCCCCCTACTGCTCGCTATGGGCAAGAGCCGGCAGCCGCGTCGCTTCAGGCGGCCTCACCACCCTCTCTGCGGCCCCGCGGGGCTGAGCACGGAGCCCGAGGCGGAGGAGGAGTGCGAGGAGGAAGCCTGCCCAGTCGAGACTCTGCTGGAGACGGTGAGGCCGGCGGCGCGGGGTGGAGGTGTGTGTGGGGCATGGTGGAGGGGTGTATATTCAGACCCTCATCTCCAAACCGGATCCTACAGCCACGATAGCCTTTAACGCAGACTGTCCCCAGACCTTGTGCCATGTTGTTTACCCCTATACACTACTTTACCCGGCCCCCTACTCGCTTGATCCTCACCCCGTGCCCCCCCCCCCCCGCGTGCGTGAGTGTATGCGTGTGAGTGTGTGAGTGTGCGTGTGTGTGCATGAGTATATGCGTGTGCGTGAGTGTATGCGTGTGAGTGTGTGTGCGTGAGTGTGTGTGCGTGAGTGTGTGTGCGTGAGTGTGTGTGCGTGAGTGTGTGTGCGTGAGTGTGTGTGCGTGAGTGTGTGTGCGTGAGTGTGTGTGCGTGAGTGTGTGTGCGTGAGTGTGTGTGCGTGAGTGTGTGTGCGTGAGTGTGTGTGCGTGAGTGTGTGCGTGAGTGTGTGTGCGTGAGTGTGTGTGCGTGAGTGTGTGTGCGTGAGTGTGTGTGCGTGAGTGTGTGTGCGTGAGTGTGTGTGCGTGAGTGTGTGTGCGTGAGTGTGTGTGCGTGAGTGTATGCGTGTGAGTGTGTGCGTGAGCGTGTGTGTGCGTGAGTGTATGCGTGTGTGTGTGTGAGTGTATGCGTGTATGCGTGTGAGTGTGCGTGTGTGTGCGTGTGAGTGCGTGAGCGTGAGTGTATGCGTGTGAGTGTGCGTGAGTGTATGCGTGTGTGTGTGTGAGTATATGCGTGTGTGTGTGTGAGTATATGCGTGTATGCGTGTGAGTGTGCGTGTGTGTGCGTGAGTGTATGCGTGTATGCGTGTGAGTGTGTGTGCGTGAGTGTATGCGTGTGTGAGTGTGTGTGTGTGTGTGAGTATATGCGTGTGTGTGTGTGAGTATATGCGTGTGTGAGTGTGAGTATATGCGTGTGTGAGTGTGAGTATATGCGTGTGTGAGTGTGAGTGTGCGTGTGTGTGCGTGAGTGTATGCGTGTGAGTGTGCGTGAGTGTATGCGTGTGTGTGTGTGAGTGTATGCGTGTGAGTGTGCGTGTGTGTGCGTGAGTGTATGCGTGTGAGTGTGTGTGCGTGAGTGTATGCGTGTGTGAGTGTGTGTGTGTGCGTGAGTGTATGCGTGGGAGTGTGTGAGTGTATGCGTGTGTGTGCGTGAGTGTATGCGTGTGAGTGTGCGTGTGTGTGCGTGAGTGTATGCGTGTATGCGTGTGAGTGTGTGTGCGTGAGTGTATGCGTGTGATTGTGTGAGTGTGTGTGTGCGTGAGTGTATGCGTGTGATTGTGTGAGTGTGTGTGTGCGTGAGTGTATGCGTGTATGCGTGTGAGTGTGCGTGTGTGTGCGTGAGTGTATGCGTGTATGCGTGTGAGTGTGTGAGTGTGTGTGCGTGAGTGTATGCGTGTGATTGTGTGAGTGTGTGTGTGCGTGAGTGTATGCGTGTATGCGTGTGAGTGTGCGTGTGTGTGCGTGAGTGTATGCGTGTATGCGTGTGAGTGTGTGTGTGAGTGTGTGTGCGTGAGTGTATGCGTGTGTGAGTGTGTGTGCGTGAGTGTATGCGTGTGAGTGTGTGAGTGTATGCGTGTGTGTGCGTGAGTGTATGCGTGTATGTGTGTGAGTGTGTGTGCGTGAGTGTATGCGTGTATGCGTGTGAGTGTGTGTGTGAGTGTGTGTGCGTGAGTGTATGCGTGTGTGAGTGTGTGTGCGTGAGTGTATGCGTGTGAGTGTGTGAGTGTATGCGTGTGTGTGCGTGAGTGTATGCGTGTATGTGTGTGAGTGTGTGTGCGTGAGTGTATGCGTGTATGCGTGTGAGTGTGTGAGTGTGTGTGCGTGAGTGTATGCGTGTGATTGTGTGAGTGTGCGTGTGTGTGCGTGTGAGTGTATGCGTGTGTGTGTGTGAGTGTATGCGTGTATGCGTGTGAGTGTGCGTGAGTGTGCGTGTATGCGTGTGAGTGTGCGTGAGTGTGCGTGTATGCGTGTGAGTGTGTGAGTGTGCGTGTGAGTGTGTGAGTGTATGCGTGTGTGTGTGTGTGCGCACAGCTGCGGTTGTGCGCTGCGCTTCAAACCCGGCGACCCGAGTTCAATTCCCGCTCACGGCCAACACCAGTGACGATTATATCTGAACGGGTCACGGGCCTCCGCTATGTCGACTCGGCCTAAAATGAGAACCTGGTGCCAACCGCAAACATCGCCACTGGGGAGACAAAGGCGGCCGGGCGTGGTGCCGGCCAACCCACCCCCTCGCGGAGTTGACGGTTAAACATGCTACGCGCGTGATCTTTGTCTTTGCACAGCTGCAGTCGGGCTCTGCGGACGCGCGTGAGTGCGCATGCGCCAGCCTCTCCCGCCTGGCCCTGGGCGCCCGCACGGTGCCCGCCCTGCTCGGCCGTGGCGCCGTGCGCCTCCTGGGGCCGCTGCTGCTCGACCCAGCGGCCTCCGTGCGCGAGACGGCGGCCGGAGCTCTCAGGTGATGGCGGCGGTGGTGGTGGTTGCAGCGGCGGCGGTGACGCTACCCCAATACGAACATCATCGTCACAATCATCGTCGCCATCATCGTCGCAATCATCGTCACAATCATCGTCGCCATCATCGTCACCATCATCGTCACCATCATCGTCGCCATCATCGTCGCCATCATCGTCGCAATCATCGTCACCATCATCGTCACCATCATCGTCGCAATCATCGTCACCATCATCGTCGCCATCATCGTCACCATCATCGTCGTCATCATCGTCGCCATCATCGTCGCCATCATCGTCGCCATCATCGTCACCATCATCGTCACCATCATCGTCACAATCATCGTCTTCATCATCGTCACAATCATTATCACCATCATCGTCTTCATCATCGTCACCATCATCGTCACAATCATTGTCACCATCATCATCTTCATCATCGTCGCCATCATCGTCACAATCATTATCACCATCATCGTCTTCATCATCGTCACCATCATCGTCACAATCATCGTCTTCATCATCGTCACCATCATCGTCACAATCATTATCACCATCATCGTCTTCATCATCGTCACCATCATCGTCACCATCATCGTCACAATCATCGTCATCGTTGTCTCTCTGTGCGGCACACCTCGAGTGCAGTAAGGATATCCAAGCTGTACCTCTACGTGGTACACGGCGGAACCCGGCACCGGCCGGCGAGTGGGCATTAGCCTGGCTGTAAAGGGGGCTATGCCTCCATCACGATTCCTCCATCACGATGCCGACCGCCGCTAATTTGACCCCTCTCTCTGCCGTTGCCTGCCGCGAGCAGGAACATGAGCGTGGCGGGCGGGCCGGACGCGTGCGAGGACATGGTCGCCAGCGACATCATGACGCCGCTCGTCGCGTTGCTCAGAGAGGCAAGGACCCGCGGCACCACCATCCGCTCCCCAGCCAATGCTGCGTGTGACCCTGCCGTGACTCCCGTGACCCTGCCGTGACCTTGCCGTGACCCCCGTGACCCTGCCGCGACCCCCGTGTCACTTCCGCGACCTCCGCTGCCGCTCCCGGTAATACGACCTCTGCCGGTGCGTTGTCGACCTGCGGTGATCACCTCCGGTGTTTTTGGTTCCCCGCCGGCGCGCAGTGCGCCGCCTTCCTGGACTCTGCCGGGGACGCGCAGCCCAAGGGGAGGGGTGGCGGCGGCGGCGGCGGTCTGCCCGGAGACGTCGCCGTGGAGGCCGTCCACCTCCTGCTCAACCTGTGGTGAGGGCCTGGGGCGTGTGTGGTGAGGGTGTGGTGAGGGTGTGGTGAGGGTGTGGTGAGGGTGTGGTGAGGTGTGGTGAGGGTGTGGTGTGTGTCGTGAGGGTGTGGTGCGTGCGGTGAGGGTGTGGTGAGGGTGTGGTGAGGGTGTGGTGCGGGTGTGGTGAGGGTGTTGTGAGAGTGTGGTGTGTGCGGTGAGGATGTGGCGAGGGCCCGGGGAGTGTGTGGTGAGGGTGTGGTGAGGGCCCGGGGCGTGTGTGGCGAGGGCCCGGGGAGTGTGTGGTGAGTGTGTGGTGAGGGTGTGGTGAGGGTGCGGTGAGGGTGTGGTGAGGGCCCGGGGCGTGTGTGGTGAGGGTGTGGTGAGGGTGTGGTGCATGCGGTGAGGGTGTGGTGTGTGTCGTGAGGGTGTGATGTGTGTCGTGGGGGTGTGGTGTGTATGGTGTGTGTCGTGAGGGTGTGGTGTGTATGGTGTGTGTGGTGAGGGTGTTGTGCGTGTGGTGAGGGTGTGTTGTGTGTCGTGAGGGTGTGGTGTGTATGGTGTGTGTGGTGAGGGTGTGGTGTGTATGGTGAGGGTGTGGTGAGGTTGTTGTGCGTGTGGTGAGGGTGTGTTGTGTGTCGTGAGGGTGTGGTGTGTATGGTGAGGGTGTGGTGCGTGCAGTGTGTGTGGTGAGGGTGTGGTGAGGGTGTGGTGCGTATGGTGAGGGTGTTGTGAGGGTGTGGTGCGTGTGGTGAGGGTGTGGTGCGTGTGGTGAGGGTGTGGTGCGTGTGGTGAGGGTGTGGTGTGTATGGTGAGGGTGTGGTGTGTGCGGTGTGTGTGGTGAGGGTGTGGTGTGTGTCGTGAGGGTGTGGTGTGTATGGTGAGGGTGTGGTGCGTGCGGTGTGTGTGGTGAGGGTGTGGTGTGTGTCGTGAGGGTGTGGTGTGTATGGTGAGGGTGTGGTGCGTGTGGTGTGTGTGGTGAGGGTGTGGTGTGTGCGGTGAGGGTGTGGTGTGTGCGGTGTGTGTGTACACTGTGTGTGTGTAGACTGTGTGTGTGTAGACTGTGTGTGTACACCATGTGTGTGTGTAGACTGTTTGTGTACACCGTGTGTGTGTGTGTAGACTGTGTGTGTACACCGTGTGTGTGTGTACATGGTGCGTGCAGTGTGTGTGTACACCGTGTGTGTGTGTGTACATGGTGCGTGCAGTGTGTGTGTACACCGTGTGTGTGTGTGTACACGGTGCGTGCAGTGTGTGTGTACACGGTACGTGTGTGTGTACACGGGACGTACAGTGTGTGTGTACGACGTGTGTGTGTGTTCACCATGTGTGTGTACGATGTGTGTGCATAGACTGTGTGTGTACACCGTGTGTGTGTGTACACCATGTGTGTGTACGACGTGTGTGTGTGTATGATGTGTGTGTGTAGACTGTGTGTGTACACCGTGTGTGTGTGTGTACACAGTGCGTGCAGTATGTGTGTACGACGTGTGTGTGTGTGTTTGTACAATGTGTGTGCGTAGACTGTGATGTACACCATGTGTGTGTGTACGACGTGTGTGTGTGTGTCCACGGTGCGTGCGCTGCGTGCAGCGAGAGCAGCGCTCGTGCCGTCTCCGTGTTCAACAAGGAGGCGCTGCTGCCGCCGCTGCTGCAGTTTGTGAGACGGCACCAGCAGCACCTGCCCCTCGCCATCGCTGCAGGTGCAGCCTTCACACATGCACACATACACACGCACACACATACACACGCACACACATACACACGCACACACATACACACGCACACACACACACACGCACACACACACGCACACACGCACACACTACAAACACACAGATCCCCCGTATTGCCTTTGACAGGCTGTTTGGGCATGTGTTGTTAGCGTGTAGCACCTATTGAAGGCTGGAACGGCACACGAAGGGGGGGGGGTGGGTGACCAGCAACCACGTCCGAGCGCCTTTGTCTCCCTAGTGGCGATGTTTACACATCGCACCAGGTACTCATTTGAAGCTGAGTCGACCTAGGGAAGGCCCAGGACCGGTTCAGATATTCATCGCTGGTGTTGTTGGTCCTGAGCGGGAATCGAACTCTGCTCGCCGGGTCCATAGCTTGGCTCGCTAATCGCTCCACTATTGCATTCACACGCACATACGTACACACACACACGTGCACACACACACACACGTGAAGTATGGGAATTGACGGCAGGAACTTCTTGACGGGAACACACTTTTATTAAATCTTTACGTATCAAAATACAACGTGTAGTCTCCTTTCTTCCGACTTCACACTCCACTACTCTCGTGTAAACTCTAGGCCTCTGGCTACACACGATACCCTTCACTCGTGTAGACCCTACGCCTCTGGCTACACAATACACTCGACTCGTGTAGACCCTATGTCCCTGGCTACACAATACACTCGACTCGTGTAGACCCTATGTCCCTGGCTACACAATACACTGCATTCGGCTCGTGTAGACCTTACGCCTCTGGCTACACACACTACACTCGCCTCTGGGTTACACAGAGTCCCGGTCCCGTTAGGACAGCGGGACTAGGTACCGCAGGGCCCTAGGTCTTCATCCCCGTCTTCATTCTTCGCTGGTTACACACTGCCCTCACGCCTGTGTGCATCCCCTTTTATAGCCCCTGCTCACGAGAGGCGGAGCTGATGCGTACTTCAACATGAGCATCGCTCCTTAATGAACCAATCACGACGCACTCTCTCTACGATCCGTTTTCCCCAGCGCGTGTTAACACTCCTCCACCAATCACACCGCGCTGCCACCCGATCACTCCCTCTCAGCACGTCACCCGTCCACAGCCAATCAGTACCCCGTAACCCACGACCCCGCGCTGACCCCTGATCCTCCACCGTCAGCGCACGTCACCACCTACACAGCCAATCATTACGCGCTGGCATACGATCTCTAATCCCAGCGCGTATCACCTCTACATCACCCCCTCCCACATAGCTTGCAGCCGGCCCGGCTGTTAACCAACAACACAACCTAACGTCAATGCAGTAACAAAGAAACTCCACCTCTCAGTGTGCCCCGTAACGCAACAACAACAACACAACACAACACTTAAATATGAAGCAATATACAGCCCGACGAACAACACAATAAAAGCGAACACCGGAAAACGAACACAATTAAAGCGAACACCGGAAACCGAACGCGCCAAGTGTCTCTGTGACTAAACGCAGTGCCGAGGCGCTCCGGCTGCCTCGACTCCTCACGTGGCAGGTCACACAAAGTAGCGCGACCTAGCGCGAGTCCGTCTGGCCGGTCCGTCGTATGGGACGGGACGTTGGCGACCGTCCGGTGGCTCCGGCTGCTCAAGATCCGGCCGCCGGTGGTCGGCAGCTGTCAGTTCCGAGACACCTGGGAGCGGATCAGGCGGAGACATGTGAGGAGCAGGCAAAGACAATTCCCCCTCAGGGTCGCTGGTCACGTCACATGCTCGGCCCTCATGACACAAGGGGAGGCCATACGGAGGCGAGAACGGTTTCAGTCGGGAGGGGTGGACGTACCAACGGCGTTTTCCCCATTTTATCTGAACGCACTGGGGGCGTGCAACCCGCACGACCTCCACGGGTCCCCGCCACGGCTTCAACAATTTAGGCGACGTAGCCAAAGGTGCCTGCGGGCAATGCAGCCAGGCCCTGTCACCTGGTTCCCAATTGTGCACGGACACCTTCCGTGCCCGCAACCGCTCGTTTGCAATTTGGCGAGCCCGTGAATTAAGCCGTGCGGCCTCCCTTGCCTCTGTCAGCTTATGAATATTAAATTTAATATGCTCTGCCAATTTCGAATTTGCTCGTGGTGCGGACAGACCCAGCTGCGTTTCCATGGGCGGGTCGGCTTCCCGACCGTACATCAGATAAAACGGGGAAAATCCCGTAGCTGCATGGGGGGCCATTCTATACGCGGTGAGGACCCCAGGGACCTGCAGGTCCCAATCAACATGCGCCTCACACACCTGCTGGCACAACATAGAAGTCAATGTCCTGTTAAGCCTCTCCACCATCCCGTCTGTCTGCGGGTGGTACGGGGAGGTACGCACCTTCTTGGTACCCAACAGGTCGCACACCTCTTGCAGTAATTTACTCGAAAAATTCTTCCCTTGGTCAGTCAGCAAGCGTTCGGGAGCCCCCTTGTCCAGGACGTAGCCCTGGACAAAGGCGTCCGTCACAGCCGCCGCCGACTGGTTGGCGAGTGGCCACGCCATAGGCCACCGGGTAAAATATTCGACCCCCACCAACAGGTACTTATTACCCCTAGGCGTGACCGGAAAAGGCCCCAGAATGTCGAGTGCAACGAGCTCGTTAGTGCGCGAGACCTGGATGGATTGCAGCGGTGGATTAGCTGGCACAGGCGGTGGTTTCCGTCTGGCGCACTCAACACAACCCTTCAGAATGTTCACCACGTCACCCCCCATTCCCGGCCAATAATAGTCACGCTGAAGCAGGGCAAGCGTTTTGTTAACTCCCAAATGCAAGAGGCGTTCGTGTGCGGCCAAGACAACCTTCCCCCTCACAGCAGCAGGCACCACAATCGCATGCCGCCGGGACAAACTGTCCCATCTCATCAATAGGCCTTGCTTAAGCTCGTAGGAGCCAGTTCGGTCGTGGTTACCTTCGGAACCCCCCGTCTTGCGGCGCAATGCCAGCAGGGAGCTGTCCGCCATTTGGAGACGGCCCCACTCAATCAATGACATTGAGAGCAGCGAGTCCTGACCCCCAGGGGTAGCGGGACCATCCCCAATTGGTGTGCTCGCGGCCGCAACCAACGCCTCCCTACCTTCCGTAACCGGCGGTTTACAGCGCGCCGATCCCGATAAGCACGCACATTTGTGACAAGGCAACAACCGCGACAGGGCATCGGCATTTGTGTGTCGCAAGCCTTTACGGTACGTAGTCGTGAACTGATAGTCCTGGAGGACTTCCAACCACCGCGACAATTGGCCCGAGGGCTGGGCGACCCGCAATGAATACTGGAGCGCCGCGTGGTCCGTCCGGACCGTGAAATGACGACCATAGAGATATGGCCTGAATTGTTGTACAAAAAAAACAATGGCAAGCAGTTCGCGACGGGTGACGCAGTAGCGCTGCTCTGCCGGCGATAACACCCTGCTACCATAGGCGACCACTCGTTCGACCCCTCCAACGACTTGGGACAGCACTCCCCCAATGCCCGTGTTGCTAGCGTCCGTGTCTAGCAAGAAGGGACTCGCGAAGTCCGGATAGCGCAAGGGTGGGGCCCTAACCAAGGCGTCCCGGAGGGAGCAGAATGCAGCCTCCTCCTCCGGTCCCCATCGGAACTTCACTCCCTTCGCCGTTAGAGCGTGCAAGGGTTTTGCAATGGTGGCAAAGTGCTCAACGAATCGGCGATAATACGAAGCAAAACCGATGAAACTGCGTACGTCTGACACTGACGTGGGCGTTGGCCACGAACTGACACAGTCCGTCTTCGCAGGATCGGTAGAAATCCCCGAAGAGTCGACAATGTGACCCAAGTACCTCACGGATTTACGAAAAAGGTGGCATTTGGCCGGTTTAAACTTTAATTTAGCCGATCGCATTCGCAAGAACACCCCCCTCAATCGCTGGAGGTGTTCTTCAAACGTTTTACCGAAAACAATGACATCGTCAAGGTAAATGAGGCACGTATCCCACTGCAAGCCCGACAAAACCAATTCCATAAGACGCTGAAACGTCGCCGGAGAGGAGTGAAGTCCCATGGGTAACCGGTTAAACTGAAACAGGCCCCCTGGAGTCCGAAATGCGGTCTTAGGCTTAGACTCTTCGTCGAGTGGCAACTGCCAGAATCCGGATAATAAATCAAGAGTCGAAAAGTATCGCGCACCAGACAATGCGTCGAGAGACTCGTCCATCCTGGGGAGCGGATACGCGTCGGCCACAGAGATCTTATTCAGGCGACGGAAATCGACGCAAAATCGCAGGGACCCGTCCTGCTTTTTAACGAGCACAATAGGCGCTCCCCAAGGACTGGAGGAAGGCGAAATAATGTCGGCTTCTAGCATATCGTTAACTGCCGACTGAACATGTTCCTTCTCAGCAGGACTCAGTCGGAAGGGATTTTGCCTGACCGGTGCCGCATCGCCCGTTTCAATGTGGTGGCGTAGCAGGTCCGTGCACCCAATGTCATACTTATGTTTACTGAAGACATCCGAAAATTCAATGAGCAACCCGCGCAGCGCACCCAACTGTACCGCTGATAAATCGTCAGAGTCCGCGCACAGCGAATCAACCCAATCGAGGTCCTCCTTCAATGTAACGTTTTTCGTGGGACTCGGATCCGCCTGCGCAACCAGCCTCTCCTCCGCAGGGACCCGCGCCGCGTGAGCTAGCACGGTGCCCTGCTGAATGACGGCCGGCCGCGCCCCAGCGTTTAAAACCATCACAAACGGATCCCTGTCAGCCCCCACCAAAGTGTGAGCCACCGACAAATCGAGACCTCCAACAGCCCTATTAGAAGGACCCAAAAGCATGCCCTGTTCCGAGGCCTCCTTCACCCATGGCTTCCGCAACCGGAGGGGAATTAACATTTGTGAACCCGGGGGCACGTGCACGGTCTGTGTCGCTAACGCCTGTATGGTAGCGCACGCCGTCCGAATTTCATTAGGGCTCGTCAAAAATGAAATACGGCGACCCGATGGTAGTTCAATGCAACGCTGATCAATGAGAATTTTGATGGGCATTTTTGCCAAAAAATCAGTGCCCAATAGACAAGGGACCGCCAGGGAGGACGAAACAAAAACGGGTCCCGACAATTTGATATCACCAATGCAAATGGATGCCCTAATCTGACCGATAATGCCCAACGATCCCCCGTTAGCGGCGTAAAATGGCACATCCACCGGAAGAAGCGGACGACATTGTACAGGGAGAATATTATAAATGAGATCCGATATAATAGTCGCCGATGCCCCCGTGTCCACCAACACCCTGACCTCGACCCCATCAATAGATCCGGTAACTACGGATGAACCCGCTGAGGCAGCCACTATTCTGTGCCCCAACTCCGACCATTTAATGTCTCCCCGGTCCCGGCCGAATCGCCCTCTCTGAACCGAATCCCCGAACTCTACTCGGCTCTCCCCCGCCGCAACGCGACGACCCATATGTGCCGAGTATGCGGGCCGAGCATGTGAGGTGCCGCGACTTGCCAGGGTTTGCAGGGACGACTTGGGGCCTTGGTCGTCGTCCAGCCGAGGTCCCATGGCGCGCTGACGTGGGGCGCGGCAACCGGAGGCCACGTGGCCCCGGAGGCCGCAGTTATAGCAGGTGATGACAGTCGTCGGAGATCTCGGTTGCTCCAGCTTGCGGGCCGCTCGCAGAGGCGAACGACCCCCCGATCTCCAGTCCCTCGGTCGTCCCGCGATGAACGCCTCCTCTCGTGGGCTGACGACTTGGGGCACGGTGACAACTGGGCCCGGAGTCGAGGCCACGGCAGCATTGCAGACGACTCCCTGTTTACGGTGAAGGACCTCGTGCGCTTGTATGCTTGTGGCGACCCGTAAGGATGAAATATCGGTCTCATCGGCCGTGTTGATGGGGACCCCCAGGTCCTGCGCCAACTTGAGCAGCTGCTCCAAAACCATGGCATCTTGGCCCTCCTCGTCCATACGAGGGAACGCGGCGTCGGCGAGAGCAAGCAACGCCGTGCGGTAGGCGAGCACGGTCTCCGTGTCCGCCTTCCGTCTTGCATAAAAATGATGGCGGCACGCGGAGGGAGGACCATAGACCTTGGCCATGAGAGCCAGCGCATCTTTGAGCGTGGAGCGGTCCGTCCTGCGTGCGGACGTGAAGGCCGCGAGCGCGTTGTCATCCAGCATGGCAGGCAGTGCCCGCAGTGCCGTAGCATCGGACCAGGCGGACATCTCCTGATGCGCCAAAAATCTGCGCTGAAATTGGCTCCAATCCCCGCCTTCCGCCTTGAAGGCTGACAACGTGGGAAGGCGCTGCTGAAAAATGAAGTCGTCCTCCTCCTCGTGCTTCCTCTCTGCCGCCCCGCCGGTGTGTAAGATGGCGGCCCCATCGGCGGGTATGTGATGGCGGTCCGCCGCGCGCGTTGGTGACGTCAGCGGGCGCGCATGGAGAACCGCTGCCACGTGGTGATGGCCGTTCCCGCCAAAAGTCGGTGCAGATGAAATGGCGGCCATCGGCAAATCGTTTTGGCGGGAATCTGCAGGGCGACCCTGCAGAACGTCGGCCGCCGTTCCCGCTCCTCCCGACGAGCTGATCTCCGCCAAGATGGACGCGGCGGGGAGCAGCAGTTCCGCCAGACGGGAGTGCGCTTCGCGAAGCACGGCGTCAGTCCCCCGTGGCTCGTCCGGCGCCGTCGGCGGATCCTGCCCCGTGGGCAACTCCTCTTCCTCACCCCCCGATGCCAGTTGACCCGCGTCGTCGAGGTTGTCCCCGTGGTCAATCCCGTGGGTCCGACGGTTCCTCCTTGTATCCATGCTTGGAAGACCGTTTCACTTCTGACGCCAGTTGAAGTATGGGAATTGACGGCAGGAACTTCTTGACGGGAACACACTTTTATTAAATCTTTACGTATCAAAATACAACGTGTAGTCTCCTTTCTTCCGACTTCACACTCCACTACTCTCGTGTAAACTCTAGGCCTCTGGCTACACACGATACCCTTCACTCGTGTAGACCCTACGCCTCTGGCTACACAATACACTCGACTCGTGTAGACCCTATGTCCCTGGCTACACAATACACTCGACTCGTGTAGACCCTATGTCCCTGGCTACACAATACACTGCATTCGGCTCGTGTAGACCTTACGCCTCTGGCTACACACACTACACTCGCCTCTGGGTTACACAGAGTCCCGGTCCCGTTAGGACAGCGGGACTAGGTACCGCAGGGCCCTAGGTCTTCATCCCCGTCTTCATTCTTCGCTGGTTACACACTGCCCTCACGCCTGTGTGCATCCCCTTTTATAGCCCCTGCTCACGAGAGGCGGAGCTGATGCGTACTTCAACATGAGCATCGCTCCTTAATGAACCAATCACGACGCACTCTCTCTACGATCCGTTTTCCCCAGCGCGTGTTAACACTCCTCCACCAATCACACCGCGCTGCCACCCGATCACTCCCTCTCAGCACGTCACCCGTCCACAGCCAATCAGTACCCCGTAACCCACGACCCCGCGCTGACCCCTGATCCTCCACCGTCAGCGCACGTCACCACCTACACAGCCAATCATTACGCGCTGGCATACGATCTCTAATCCCAGCGCGTATCACCTCTACACACGTACACACGTACACAGACACGCACGTACACACACACGTACACACACATACACACGTACACACACACACGTACACACACACACACACACGTACACACACACACACATCTCCATGTGGTGGGGATGGCACCATGTATTGGCACCATTAGCGCTTCGGCTGCAAACCGCAGAGCGTATAACTTCACACTGCGCCAAATATACACGAGTGGCTGTGTGGCTGGTGTGGTGGTTGGCTAAGTTGGTGGGTGTGTGAGTGGTTGGGTTGGTTGGTGGGTGGGTGGGTTGGTTTGTGGGTGGATGGATGGGTGAGTGGCTGGCTGTGTGAGTGGCTGGCTGGGTGAGTGCCTGGCTGGGTGAGTGGCTGGGTGGGTGAGTGGCTGGGTGGGTGAGTGGCTGGGTGGGTGAGTGGCTGGCTGGGTGAGGGGCTGGCTGGGTGAGGGGCTGGGTTGGTGGCTGAGTGGGTGAGTGGCTGGCTGGGTGAGTGGCTGGCTGTGTGAGTGGCTGGCTGGGTGAGTGCCTGGCTGGGTGAGTGGCTGGGTGGGTGAGTGGCTGGGTGAGTGGCTGGGTGGGTGAGTGGCTGGCTGGGTGAGGGGCTGGCTGGGTGAGGGGCTGGGTTGGTGGCTGAGTGGGTGAGTGGCTGGCTGGGTGAGTGGCTGGGTGAGTGGCTGGCTGGGTGAGTGGCTGGCTGGGTGAGTGGCTGGCTGGGTGAGTGGCTGGCTGGGTGAGTGGCTGGCTGGGTGAGTGGCTGGCTGGGTCAGCAATTCACCAACTCTCAGGCAAAACAATTGAATGGCCACATCACAACTGCGTCTCTAATATTTCGATTTAAAGCTTTCGTGACTGCAGGGATTCATCTTCTTGGTTCTTTCGGTAAAGTCACGTAGAAGGGAAGTAATAAAATAATACTTCCCTTCTACGTGACTTTACCGAAAGAACCAAGAAGATGCGTCTCTAATAGTTGCTTTTCACAGCCGCATGAAAGAAAGATTAGCAGCAGATGGCTCTGCCGCTAATGGCGCTGGGCGTTGACGGGGATCCAGTGGTAACGCGCTCGCCGCTTGTTGCAGAGGTCCGCGGTTCGAATGCGGCAGTCTGCCCTGGTTAATACTGCAAGCTTCACAGTGGATGTTCTAGATCCCTGTGACATCATTCGATAAGAGGAGGCCATCGTGGTGCAAATTTGGCATATTTGAAAAATAACACGGCAAAATTACTCAATTGGGAGTAGACATAGCAACATCGGTCCCCTGCTGTCAAACTACTGCGGGCAGTGTCTGTGAAACAGTGCTTTCCTTCTTGATGTGAGGAGCGGTGGTGTAGCGGTTAGCGCGCTGCTGCGCTATGAACCCGGCGATCCGGGTTCGATTCCCGCTCACGGCCAACACCAGTGACGATTATCTGAACCGGTCCTGGGCCACCCCTAGGTCGACTCGGCCTCAAATGAATACCTGGTGCGGTGTGTAAATATCGCCACTGGGGAGACAGGCGGTCGGGCGTGGAGCTGGCCACCCGCCCCCTCGTGTGCAGGTTCCGGCCTTCATAGGTGCTCGCTAACAGCACTTGCCCCTACAGTCTGTCAAGGCTATACGGGGAATCTTTGTCTTTATCCTTCTTGATAGCCTGGCATTGTAAGAATGATAGTGCCAATATCAAACATGCTCTGTTCATCATAATGATTATATTATTCTTCTTGGTTCTTTCGGTAAAGTCACGTAGAAGGGAAGTAATAAAATAATAAAAATAAAACATAATAAAATATTATTGTTATTTATCGATGGTGGTGGTGCTGATGATGGCGGTGGTGATGGTGGTGGTGCTGATGACGACGCTGGTGCTGATGACGACGCTGGTGCTGGTGATGGTGGTGGTGCTGATGGTGGTGGTGCTGATGACGACGGTGGTGCTGATGGTGGTGGTGGTGGTGCTGATGGTGGTGGTGCTGATGACGACGGTGCTGATGACGTCGGTGCTGATGGTGGTGGTGATGATGGTGCTGATGATGACGATGGTGCTGATGACGATGGTGCTGATGACGACGGTGGTGCTGATGACGACGGTGGTGCTGATGGCGCCCGGGAGTGACCGCCCTTTCCCCGCCGCCCGCCCCGCAGCTCAGTGCCTGCAGACGGTGGCGGAGGACAACGTGGAGCTGGCGGGCAGCCTCACGGCGCCGGCGCTCGCGGCGCTGGAGCCGGCGCTGCTGCTGCCTCCCGCTGGCGCGGACAACGGCAGCGCCGGCGCCCAGCGGAGCCTGCTGCGCACACTCGTAGCCGGTGACTGCGCACGCCCTGCACACTCACGCTGCACACGCCGCGTACACGCCGTGTACACGCTCCCCGCATTCACTCCCTGCACCCACACCCTGCGTGACCCCAACCCCTGCACCCTCACACTGCACACGCCGCGTACATGCTCCCCGCATTCACACCCTGCGTGACCCCAACCCCTGCACACGCACACACCAGGTACACGCTCCCTGCACTCCCTGCACACTCACACTCTGCACACCCTACACACCCACTCCCTACACACCCACACCCTGCACACCCACTCCCTACACACCCACACCCTGCACACCCACTCCCTACACACCCACACCCTGCACACCCACTCCCTACACACTCACACCCTGCACACCCACTCCCTACACACTCACACCCTACACACCCACTCCCTACACACCCACACCCTGCACACCCACTCCCTACACACCCACACCCTACACACCCACTCCCTACACACCCACACCCTACACACCCACTCCCTGCACACCCACTCCCTACACACCCACTCCCTACACACCCACTCCCTACACACCCACACCCTACACACCCACTCCCTGCACACCCACTCCCTACACACCCACTCCCTACACACCCACTCCCTACACACCCACTCCCTACACACCCACTCCCTACACACCCACTCCCTGCACACCCACTCCCTACACACCCACTCCCTACACACCCACTCCCTGCACACCCACTCCCTGCACACCCACTCCCTGCACACTCACACTCTGCACACCCTACACACCCACACCCTACACACCCACTCCCTACACACCCACTCCCTACACACCCACACCCTACACACCCACACCCTACACACCCACTCCCTACACACCCACACCCTACACACCCACTCCCTACACACCCACACCCTACACACCCACTCCCTGCACACCCTACACACCCACACCCTACACACCCACTCCCTACACACCCACTCCCTACACACCCACTCCCTACACACCCACTCCCTACACACCCACTCCCTGCACACCCACTCCCTACACACCCACTCCCTACACACCCACTCCCTGCACACTCACACTCTGCACACCCTACACACCCACACCCTACACACCCACACCCTACACACCCACACCCTACACACCCACTCCCTACACACCCACACCCTACACACCCACTCCCTACACACCCACACCCTACACACCCACTCCCTGCACACCCTACACACCCACACCCTACACACCCACTCCCTACACACCCACTCCCTACACACCCACTCCCTACACACCCACTTCCTACACACCCACTCCCTGCACACCCACTCCCTACACACCCACTCCCTACACACCCACTCCCTGCACACTCACACTCTGCACACCCTACACACCCACCCCCTACACACTCACTCCCTACACACCCACTCCCTACACACCCACTCCCTACACACCCACTCCCTACACACCCACACCCTACACACCCACTCCCTACACACCCACACCCTACACACCCACTCCCTGCACACCCTACACACCCACACCCTACACACCCACTCCCTACACACCCACACCCTACACACCCACTCCCTACACACCCACACCCTACACACCCACTCCCTACACACCCACTCCCTGCACACCCTGCACACCCACTCCCTACACACCCACTCCCTACACACCCACTCCCTACACACCCACTCCCTACACACCCACTCCCTGCACACCCTACACACCCACACCCTACACACCCACTCCCTACACACCCACACCCTACACACCCACACCCTACACACCCACACCCTGCACACCCACACCCTGCACACACACTCCCTACACACCCACTCCCTACACACCCACTCCCTACACACTCACACCCTGCACACCCACTCCCTACACACCCACTCCCTACACACCCACTCCCTACACACCCACACCCTACACACTCACACCCTGCACACTCACTCCCTACACACCTACACCCTGCACAATCACACGCTGCACACCCACTCCCTACACACCCACTCCCTACACACCCACTCCCTACACACCCACACCCTACACACTCACACCCTGCACACCCACTCCCTACACACCCACACCCTACACACTCACACCCTGCACACCCACTCCCTACACACCCACTCTCTACACACTCACACCCTGCACACTCACACGCTGCACACCCACACCCTGCACTCCCTACACACCTACACCCTGCACTCCCTACACACCCACTCCCTGCACACCCTACACACCTACACCCTGCACACCCACTCCCTACACACCCACTCCCTACACACTCACACCCTGCACACCCACTCCCTACACACCCACTCCCTACACACCCACTCCCTACACACCCACTCCCTGCACACCCACTCCCTACACACCCACTCCCTACACACTCACACTCTTCACACCCACTCCCTGCACAGCCACTCCCTTCATAGGTGCTCGCTTACAGCACTTGCCCCGACAGTGTGTTAAAGGCTACACGGGGGATCTTTGTCTCTGTGCGCGCGTGACGCAGGCTTCCTGTGGAACGTGAAGAGCGCCATCCCCGGCGCCAGCCTGGCCCAGGCGCTGAGCGCCGTCGTGAGTGCGCTGAGCGACGCGCTGGCCTTGGACGCGCGGCCCGCGCTCGCCGCCCTGGAGGCCCCGCCGGCCCCGCCGGGCCCCGAAGCGTCCGGCGCCGGCGAGCGTCGGCATAAAGGCCGGGCGAACGGAGTCGGCGGCGGCGGTGGTGGTGCCGTCCCTCGCAACCCAGTGAGTGGCGTGACCCGCGACCCGCGATCGCCCCCGCCCCCCCACCCCGTTCACTCCCGCGAGAGCTGCGGAGTTGACGATTGAACGTGACTCGACTCTTGCCCCTGAATCGCGACGGGTCATCGTGTCGCGGCGGGAGGTGGAGAATGGAAATGTGCCGAGCGCAGCGGCCAGCGCCGGTGAGAGCTGCGTCGCGCTACGAACCCGGCGACCCGAGTTGGATTGCCGCTCACGGCGTACCGACACCGGTGACGATGATCTGAAACCGGTCCTGGGCCTCGCCTAGGTCGACTCCGCCTCAAATGAGTACCCGGTGTAGCTGTGCAAACGTCGGCATCGAGCAGACAAAGCCGGCCCGGCGTGGTGCTGGCCTCCCACTCCCTCGCGTGCCGTGCCGGCCTTCGTAGGTGCTCGCTCAGGGCACTTGTCCCAAAAGTTTGTTCAGGCTACGCGGGGAATCTTTGTCCTCTTTGTGGTTGAGTGTGCTCTGCGTGTGTCTCTGTGTCTCTGCGTGTGTCTCTGTGTAAGCTGCAGCGCATCCAGTGTTGTGCTCTCGCCTGCCTGTGCGTGTCTCTGTCCTTGTGTCTGCACATGTCCCTGTGTCTCCACTGTGTCTCTGTGTCTCCACTGTGTCTCTGCGTCTCCACTGCGCCTGCGTGTGCGTCTTTGCGAGTGAGAGTGGAGCTGCTGAGAGCCGCGGGTCTCCTGACTGCCATATTCGACAGGCACCGGCGCAAGCGAAGAGACACTCGAAGAGGAAGAATTGCGGCGAGGTGGTGGACCAGGCCAACGAGGAGAACAAAGGTGGCGAGGGGAAGGCCGGTGGAGGTGGTGGTGGTGGAGGTGGCGGTGGTGAAGAGGAGCAGAAGGAGGAGAACGGCGGTGGTGAGGAGGACGAGGAGGAGGATGAGGCTGACATGGAGGCTGAGCCAAGCGTTGCCACGGGGGACGCAAGGCCTCCGAGCAGCGGCGATGACCTCTCCGACCTCTTGCCGGTGCCTCCCTCGCGCCGCGTCCTCACCTTCGCCGCGTTCCTGATCGGTTTGGCAAATAATGAGTCCGATTGCGACGTGGCCCGTCATGTGATTTAGAGCCTGCCAGGCCCCACGGTGACTCGGTGGCCTCACCCGGGCCCTGCCAGTCTCGGGATGGTGGTGATGTTTCTCAGCCTCGTGGCCGGCGTCAATAGATCTCGTCACACGCGCTCGCAACGTTCGGTGCACCGCACCCGTTTCTCGAAGACTCGGTACGGGGGAGAGAAGTGCGTCCGATGACACGGGGAATATATTCGCCCCCCAAATAGCCTTGGGAGTCTCAACTTGGCCATGATAGGTCCTGCACGATCGGGTCGCTTCAATTGATGGTGTCCGTGACTATGCGTGTGTGTGCGTCTCTGCGTGTGTGTGCGTGCGTCTCTGTGTGTGCGCTCGTCTCTGCGCGTGTGTGCGTCTCTTGTGTGTGTGCGGTTTCTGCGTGCGTGTACGTGTGCGTCTCTGTGTGCGTGTCCGCGTCTCTGTGTGCGCGTGCGTCCCTGCGCACGTGTGCGTGTCTGCGTGTGTGTGTGTGTGCGTCTCTGCGTGTGTGTCTGCGTGTGTGTGTGCGTCTCTGCGTGTGTGTGTGTCTCTGTGTGTGTGTGTCCCTGCGCACGTGTGCGTGTCTGCGCACGTGTGCGTGTCTGCGTGCGTGCGTCTGTGCGAGCAGCCGAGCGAGGCGGCGCTGGTGGAGGTCATGGCGCTGTTGTCGGCACAGCAGACTGCGCTGGAAATCCTCGTCAACATGTGCTGCAGCGATGGTGCGCGGCCTGCGGGGGGTGCGGGGGGGGGGGGTGGTGGGGGCTTGTGGCGTCATGTCACGAGACACAGCGCCCGTTCAGAAACCTTGCAGTGTTGTGCTGCATGATCTCCGCAGCTAGAGAACAGGCCGTGCAAGTTGATATCACAGCTACCTCTGGGACCTCTTGATCCGCTCGCTCGGTAGACGCCGCGTTTCTCCGCAAACCCTGCTGTGTTGGGAGGCGTCCCGCACCTGCCGGTCCATCCCAAAACAAACATTTTGGCAATGTAATTGTTTTTTGAGTCCATCAACTCCCCCACGACACGTTCGAGAAGCCGGATTAGCCACGGGCAGCGGGCTGAAACCCGGATTCGAACCCAGGCTCTCAGTGGTGCCGGCTCGGCAACTCGTGAGCGCCGGCTCCGCGCCGGCCGCCGCACCAGAGGTCGCAAACGGGTTTTGATTCCTTACCCGTACCCGGCCGCACCAGGGTCGCAAACAGGTATCCGTATCCTACCCGTACCCGATACCCGTACCCGGCCAGGTATCGGATAGGGTACGGGTACGGGTACCCGATTGCGACCTCTGGGATGAAGCCATGTTGCAGGCGCGGGTGGGTTGATTCTAGGAACTTGAATTGTGAGAAGAGACAAGACGTTGGGAAATGAGTGACAAACGGTGACTCACCAGTGACTCACGGCCTACCCGTACCCGGCCGCACCAGGGTCGCAAACGGGTACCCGTACCCGGCCGGGTACGGGTAGCCGGGTATCGGGTAGGGTACGGGTATCAGGTAGGGTACGGGTATCGGGTAGGGTACGGGTATTGGGTACCCGGTTGCGACCTTTTGCCGCCCGCATCGGCGCCGGCGCCGGCGTGCCGAGCGGGGCGCGGTGGAGGGGACGCCGCGTTCGCTGCTGCGCCTCTCCATCCGCTGTGTGTGTCTCGCGATACCAGACGGGCCGGACGACGACGAGGAGGAGGAGTGGGAGGAGGTGGGCAGCAACGACGGCAGCGAGGAAGCGGCGGCGTGCGGGGACGGCGAGGAGGAGGAGGAGGCGCTACTCTCGCCGCTCTGCCTCTCCGCCGAGGTCCACGGCGCGCTGCTGAGGCACGGCATCGTGGGCCAGGTACGGCGCTCGCCCATCGCGGGGGGCTGGTCCCGGCGGGGGGGGAGGGGGGGCTTCTGGGACTCGATGCCGTATCGGGTGTGTGGGCACGTGTGTGGGCACGTGTGTGGGCACGTGTGTCTGCCTGTGTTTCTGCCTGTGTGTGCGCGTGTGTGGGCACGTGTGTGGGCTTGTGTGTTTGCTTGTGTGTGCGCGTGTGTGGGCGCGTGTGTGGGCTTGTGTGTCTGCCTGTGTGGGCATGTGTGTGTGCTTGTGTGTCTTCTTGTGTGTGCGTGTGTGTGGGCTTGTGTGCGGGCCTGTGTGTGCAGGGAGCGGTAGTGCAGCGGGTAGCGTGCTCCCCTTCAAACCCAGCCACCCGAGTTCGATTCCCGCTCATGGCCAGTGCCAGTGACTATTATTGGCCTCAAATGAGTACCCGGTGCGGTGTGTAAACAGCCCCACTGGGGAGACAAAGGCGGACGGGCGTGGTGTTGGCCACCCACCCCCTCGTGTTCTTTGCCGGCCTTGATAGGTGATCACGAACAGCACTTGCCCCACCAGTCTGTTCAGTCTATACGGGGAATCTTTGTCTTGTTTTGTTTGTGGTGCGTGTGAACGTGGTTGTACATGTGTACGTGTGTGCGTGTGCGTGCGTGTGCGTGACAACTGCACAGGTGATAGAGAAGAGCGCGTTTCCAGAGGAGAGCGGCGTCGGCGTCTGCCTCAAGAACCCGGAGTGGAAGCCGCTCCTCACCAGGTGAGCGTCTGTGCCTCCATCACCATCCGGCAGTGAAGCTGCGATACATGGGGATGTATGGCCGTGGTGCTGGCCACCCACCCCCTCGTGTGCATTGCCGGCCTCGCTAACGGCACTTGCCCCAACAGTCTGTTGCAGGCTATACGGGGGATCTTCGCCTTTGTGTATGGGGAGCTGTAATATGGTGGTTAGCGGGCTGCGCTACAGAATCGTCAGAATCAGAATCCTATTTAGACTGGAGCAGATATCCAGAAGGCACAGGTCAGAAAATGACAACAATACCAACGGACCCGAGTTCGATTCCCGCTCACGGCCAACACCAGTGGCGATTATCTGAACCGGTCCTGAGCCTCCCCCAGGTCCGGGTGTGGTGTGTAAACATCACCACTGGGAAAACTCCACGTGTCCCCGTGTCTCCACGTGTCTCTGTGTGTGCAGGCCGCAGTGCATCCAGTGTCATGCTCTCAGCTGCCTGTGTGTGCCTATGTCCCCGTGTCTCCACGTGTCCCCGTGTCTCCACGTGTCTCCACGTGTCCCTGTGTCTCTGTGTGTGCAGACTGCAGTGCATCCAGTCTCATGTTCTCAGCTGCCTGTGTGTGCCTATGTCCCCGTGTGTCCACGTGTTCCCGTGTCTCCACGTGTTCGTGTGTCTCTGTGTGTGCAGGCTGCAGTGCATCCAGTCTCGTGCTCTCAGCTGCCTGTGTGTGCCTATGTCCCCGTGTCTCCACGTGTCCTCGTGTCTCCACGTGTCCCCGTGTCTCCACGTGTCCCCGTGTCTCCACGTGTCCCTGTGTCTCTGTGTGTGCAGGCTGCAGTGCATCCAGTCTCGTGCTCTCAGCTGCCTGTGTGTGCCTATGTCCCCGTGTCTCCACGTGTCCCCGTGTCTCCACGTGTCCCCGTGTCTCCACGTGTCTCCGTGTCTCCACGTGTCTCCGTGTCTCCACGTGTCCGTGTGTCTCTGTGTGTGCAGGCTGCAGTGCATCCAGTGTCGGGCCCTCACCTGCCTGCAGAACATGCTGGGCTCGCTGGACGAGGAGGCGCTGGGGGGGCCGCTTGCACTGCAGGAGCTGGCGCGCCACCTCGCGTCGCTCCTCTTCAGCGCGAGCGGTGAGGCCTAGGGGGCCCTGGGGGGGTGGGGAGGGCGGGGGGGGGGGGGGGCTGGCCGCTGTGGGTACGGGCAGCGTCGCGCGTGTGTCTGCGCGTGCCTGTTTGTTTGCTTGTCTTTGTGTGCGTACGTGCCAGTGCGTGCGTATGTCTGCCATTGAGACGAGCGGCGGTGCAGTGGTTAGCGCGCCGCGCTGCGAGCTTGGCGAGGAAAAAAAAAACGAGTACCCGGTGCAGTGTGTAAAAATCAGTCGTGGTGGCCACCCCCTCGTGTTGCCTTGCCGGCCTTCAAAGGTGCTCCGCTTAACAGCACTTGCCCCAACAGTCCGTTGAAGGCCGCACGGTGAACCTTTGTCTCTGCGACCTGCAGATCTGGCCAAGGCCACGGAGTTTTTGGAGGCGGCCACTGGAGCGGTGAGGGCGCTGCTCCACGTCATGGCCTCCAAGGACATCCCCCAGGTGAGGTGGGGTGGGTGGTGTTGGGTGGGGGGGTTCATAATGGCCGCGTCGGAGGAGCCTGGGTTCGAGTCCAGGCCTCGCCGGTCCCGGCCGTGACTGAAACCGGATTTTCAAGTGGCAGTCGGCCGACGGGTTTCGTCCGAGGTAACTGCGCGATTAATGAAAAATAAACCCTCCGTGTTAACTTTGGTCGTTTGTGCCTACTAGGGGCCAACCATTATTCTAGGTGTCGGGCGGTGGTGGCGGCAATGTTTAATGGCCACATTTTGTTTTTTCGCGATCTGTTGGTCGTGAAAGGCCTAGATGGAGATATTAAATGTATCAATTATAAAATAAAAATACAACAAAATGTCACTTGCCTGAGAATGACGGTGGGTGGTGGTGGTTGCTTGTGATGGTAGTGGGATGGGAGTGAGTGGTGGCGGAGGGGCGATGGGTGGAGTTAGTGGAGGGGGGGTGTGGGGTTGAAGGCGTAGGGTCTGCACAAAGAACTGAGATGAGGGCTACGCCGCCGTGTACCGTGTCGTTCCGCGCGTGTACCCACAACTCCCGTACCGCTCTGCCGCGCAGCTCAGGAAAGTAGTTCATCGTTGCCGTCGACCGCTCGGAAAACGCGTTACGACGGCGTGCGTTACGCGTCATGGCGGTGAGCGTTACGCGTTATGGCGGTGAGCGTTACGCGTTGTACGAAAAGTGTTTCCTCGGAGAAGAATCGCGTCATAGCGAATACGCGTCGCGTGAACGCGCGTTTAGCGAGGACTTGACTGTAGTACCTGGTGTGGTGTGTCAACATCAGCACTGGGCAGCCGGGCGTGGCGCCGGCCGCATCGCCCCCTCGCGTGCCGTTGTGGCCTTCGCAGGTGCTGCTCGCGAACGGCACTTGCCCCAACGGCCTGTTAAAGGCTACACGGGGGATCTTTGTCTTTGCAGTGCATGTCGGTGCAGCAGCTGCTGGCGCTGTGCGAGGCGTGCGTGCGGTGCGAGCACGAGGGCGTGCGCCTCAACACGGTCGGCATCCTCGGGGTGGTGGGAGAGAGCTGTCCCGGCAGAGAGGCACCGCCACCACGCTGCAGGCACGGCACTCCACACCGCCAGCACAACAACACACACAATACACTGCACACACCACACACCACCACCCAACACACACAATACATACACTCCACCACACCACCACCACCACCCTACACTCCACCACACCACCACCACCCCAACACCACACACAATACACTCCACCCCACCACCACAACACACAATACACTCCACACCACCACCACCACACAACA